ACCCTGCTAGCTTTGTTTACAGCAGCCTGGCACTGCAAACTACCTTTCAGTTTGTGGTCTACAATGACCCCCAAATCCTTCTCCATTTCTGACTTCCCCAGCGGCATACCCATAATTGTATAACCCATTTGTTTATTTTTAATTCCAAAGTGCATCACTTTGCATTTATCGACATTAAACCTCATCTGCCACATTAATGCCCACTCCCCTATTTTATCCAGGTCCTCCTGTAATGTTTGTATAATGTATTGCTGGAATTCAGTGGCGTAACTAGAACCTTCAGGGCAAGAAACTATGGAGGGCCCCCCTAACCCCCCGCCGCCATGAAACTGTGTGGTTAACAGGAAGGCTGCTGAGGTCCCCAGCAAGCGTGGGACCTCAGGCAGCCGCTTCAGTTTAAACATTTAGTGCCGGTGTTCTGTTGAGAACGCCAAACCAGCATCTGCGTTTGCACACAGACGGATCCCGGTTTCCTCGATCATACTGGTCTGTGCACAAGCGCAGATGCTGAGGTCGGCAAATTCGATTACGTCGGCGCTCTTGACAGAACACCGGTATCTGCGTTTAGTATCGGGGGGTCTGCGTTTAGTATCGGGGCATTTTCACAAGTTTGAGTACTTGTGAAAATGCCCAGTATTGGCACCGACTGGTGCATACCTACTTAAAAATATAATGCATTGCTGGGACTTGTAGTCCTTCATAGTTGGTGCTATTCTGCATTGCTCTATAATGATTACACAGCAATGCAGAATACCACCAGCTATGCGGGACTAAAAGTCCCAGCAATACATTATAATAAAAACCAGGGGGATGCTGAGTACCACCAGCATCCACCTCCCCCCCTACCGGTCCAGACTTACCTGACATTCATGCAAGACCCTCTTCTGTGTCTCGGCGGCCAGGTAGCGTGGCTAAGAGGAGAGGGTCCTCACACAGAAGAATGTGCGGCCTGGCGGTGCCTGCTCCCCCCCACAACGAAACCCCGCCCCCATTTTTGAGTGTTTTTTATTGCGTTTCAGCGCTGAAACGTGACTAAAAACAGACAAAAATGCTCTTTCAAAAATCTTGCAGAAACCACGGTGAAGCGCTTCCGGCCTGGTGTAAATGGCGCCTGAATGAGGCCTAAGCAGTAAGGTGAGGGTGCCCTCCGCACACCTTTCAGCAGTCCCGGCCAATACACGAAGATGGTGCTTGTAGTAACTCCACGGATGGCACCGTGCAAAACGAACAATTTGAAGAAATAGGTCACCAGCACTCAAAGAGTTTAAAAATGAATAAGTCCTTTTTATTGGACCATGGTGTCACGACAATCAAAAAGAGCCGACGTTTCGGGGCCACGCATGGTCCCTTTCTCAAGGCAAAAGATGTGACCTTGAGAATGTGTCTATTATGGACACCCCTGTCCATAATAGATCTTCCTTCTTCTCACCATAAATCTTCAATATACCTGCAGGTGGAAGATCTCACTGGACCTCTGTGCCTGCTCCAGCTGTAGCACTGCAGGTCTCATAGACCTTTATCATTGAGGTTGCATCTTCATTCCACTCTCATCCGGGCCAATAACACAATGAAGCATTGTGCCATTTGCTTTGTGATTGGCCAGAAGGAGAGCAGAGCAGAAATGTGAGGACCGCATAACTGAAATGGACAGGAAAGTTCAGTGGGATTTGTTCTTCCATCCGCAGGTATGCTAAAGTTTTATGGTGAGCAGAAGGAGAGGGAAATTAGAGGCAAGTCTCCTCCCACCCTCTCTCAGGGTATATGATGCTCAGTGGTTAGAACATGGTTATATCAAACAACGCGGGAGAGAGCTGCAGAGCGTTGGCCGGCTGCATGCATGCATGGGAGCTGTGAATGTATCCCGTAATCAGAGCTAAAAGAGGTCCAACTAAATATTAGAGTGTATGACTTTTTTTGGACAGGCAGTGAATAATCTCTTCATGAAGATTATAAATACCTGTAACTGGTAGACATTTTCTACATACAGGCACTTAAAGGACTAATTCTCTTTCAGTGAACTTGTCCTTTAATGAGTCCCCCCTCCAACTGCCATGTTAAATACTTACTTTCCTCCCAAACCCAGCTATCCTAACTGTGCAGCCCTGCCTGTACTGGAAAGTGATGAGACGATTTACTCTTTCAACACTAAGAGACTTCGGGATGGGGAAGAAAACCCTTGAAAGCAATATTTTAGAAGAGTGTGAATGTTTGGTGAACAAGTTTAAATCCTTCAATGGTTAGTTCCTTGCCAGTTCTCTTGACAAGATGGTACTGACTTTTTTGTTTGGGTTGTCCTGGATCTTTAGACAAAACTTGTTTTCGTTTGTTTTGAATGTAGTTGAGGATGGATAGGAGATAGGGATGAACAGAAAGGACATTTTTTTAGACTGAAACCAAAATTTCAAACATTTTCAGGCCAAAACTAAAACCGAAAATGACTTTTTTCCCCCAACTTTTTAAAAATGTTTTGCTTTATTTTGTAATTATTTTATATTTGTTTATTTACTGTTAGGGGCTTTGGGGAAATAGCAGGGGTCTAAAGAGGCTTCTGATATTTCTCTTTTAAAATAGATAAAGAGTTTGAGGACAAAGAGTCATAAATCTCTTTTTCTGCAGCCCCAGCACTCAATGAACAGGAAGCTCTCAGTAAAGAGGCTTTCTGTTCATTCACAATCTGAAGATAGTAAATATTTACGAGTAACCCAGTCATGAATGGACAGGAAGCCTCTGTACCTAGTTGCTTCCTAATCATTCATAAAATAAGCAGATAGTAAATGTTTACTAAGCCCCATTCATAAATGAACAGGAAGTGATGCATAACACTTCCTGCTCATTCATAACTGGGGACATAGTAATCACTATGTCCTCAGTTATTTACAAACACTGAGTGATCAGTACTGATCACTAAGTGTTTTGCTCTGCACACCATCCTGACTGCACCGCCCCGTGTCACTGGAGCTGAGCTCTCCTCCCTGCACCACCCCCCTCGACCTCCTGAAATCTCTCTTCCCCCTGCACTGCCCTGCTCAGCCTCCTGACAGCTTCTTCGCTGGCATCAGCAGCTGGATCGGCTCTGTGTGCCCTCTGATCCTCACTGCCTCTCCCAACACATGCGGGGGAAAGCAGTGAGGGGACACAGACCAAAGTTTGCAGCCGACACCCAGTGGGGAGGAGAGAAGTTGGGGATGCACCACATTTTTGGCCATTTTTTTTTTGTACCATCAGCATTTTGCTCATAGTACCATTTTCGGCCACAATTTCGGTGCATCCCTAACATAAAGTATATCAGGTTTTATCAGGTGGCTGTCTGTGTTCATTTGTGGAAACTTCCCATCACTTTGTAAGCAGATAGACACTATGGGGGTGATTTACTAACCTAAACACACACACACACCAGGTGTGTGTGATTTTCACACAGCAAAACGTATTTATCAACCAAAAAGTCTCTAAAAGCATATTTCCACTAATGCCATATATGGAAAAATCATGCACATGATGCATATATAATGCTGCTTCACAGTTTAGACAAAAATGGTTAGCTCATGCATTTACATTCCTGCATTCATCAACGCAAGCAACACAACATAGAGCTAATTTACACAACATCACCTTGGAATTCATTCAGGGCTTTGCACAATACACCTGCTGGGTGTGTACACATTACAAAGGTGTTTAGATTCCACCCATAGATCATGCTGGGAGGGAACACACTGCAGAGGTGTATACACGTTCGTGGTGTGTTTATAAGGTTAGTAAATCAACCCCTATGTGTCCCTCCTCAGGAAGGATTTTTTTCCAATGTATGAATAAATTCACTATGAGGAGATTCTCCAGGAAAAAGATAAACTTTTTCTTTTTACAGATTGATATGATCATTCAGTGTTTTATTCTTTGTAAGAGTGTTAAATGTCCTCTGCTTTGGGGTGCATTAATTTAATGATGAACAAATGAATCTTAAATAAGAGTTGGGTATATTTACAAATAGAGACATACCTAAATTCTAACAGGGTTATTCACTAAAGGGTGAATGGCTTGGAGAAGGCAGGAGAAGTGAACAATCTAGGACAAAATACTGTAGCTGATTTAGAGAAATTCTCCAATTCAGCTCACTTTCCAGTTCAGTTAGTTTATCCTAGATTGTTCACTTCTCCTGACTTCTCCAAACTCTTCACCCTTTTGGGCAAAATTAAGAGGGAATTTGGATGGGGAGGTAGGGGTAAGAGTTGGAGTCTCAATCATTTGGCTAGCTCCATCCTTCTCACTTACTCACACATGCCAGGGCCCTTTTCTTTCCCCTTGGAACTCTCCCATCAAGCAGGTCTCAGCGAATCACATTCTTGCTTGTAGAGCCCATAAAGACTTGTCTAAGAGGTCATGAAAGGAAAGCATTGTTCCAGCTTGTGGGTTAGGTTTCATGCAGATGGAAGAGGGATCTTCTTCCATCTGCACAGGAAGAAGGATCAATCCCTTGCCACTGCCCACACCCCAGCATGCGTGCTGCATTCCTATACAATCGTGGGCAGTAAATACCAGCAGGGGGCTTGGGCTGTCCCAGGGGATAACAACCCTCAAGTATCTATTCATCGTTCAGTGTCACTTTTCCAAGAGTACTTTTGTTGTTTTGATGATCCCCATCTGCCTTATCACAAACCCACATGTATTGTCTCTTTCAGGGGGATGGAATACCTATATATTAAAGCTCTATCAGCTACAATAAATAGAAATAATGGTAATGCTATTGGCTAAAGGAGGAGTAGCTGCTTCTCTGAAGCCAGGCAACAGAGGAATTATTGAATTGAAAAAATCCCACTACAATTGACTGTATCTCCAAAATTATAACCCCAAAGCAATTAAAGAATGCCATCAGAAGTCACAATACACTAATGCGTTGCGCAGTGATGTGTGTAGGTGAAACTGTAGGCGCCTTTTGCAGTAACTTATCTATACTTAGGTGCTCCGTTGAAAATGAAAAGTGTTTACAAAGCTCAATAGCTCAGGATCAAATTTAAAGGCACACCAGAGGAATGATTTGCCAGTCCAACATCCCTCCCCCCCAGCCTGCTCTGTTCAGTTAGCAGTTCAGAGTTTCAATAAGAAAAAAGTTTGACATCGATCTGCTATGCTCGCTCTCTACGAAATACTGAATATAAATATATACATTTTTTTCTCCAATAAATATTTTATATAAATAGCCGAAAACTTTATGAACCTTTAGTTGAAAAACTTGACAAAAACTGTATCCAGATTTATATTATGACTTTATTTTTCCACCTCAACGGAGCCCTAATAATTATTTAATTGTTCTAATTTCAGGTAAACCATTTGAAAACACCATGATAGTGAATGCTGCCGTGGCCAATATCATTGTGTCCATCTTGCTGGGCCATCGCTTTAACTATGAAGATCCAGTATTTCTGAGATTGATGAGTTTAATAAATGAAAACATAAGACTAATTGGATCTCCTATGGTCGCGGTATGTTTATTTAAAGTGTTGACATGTAATGTTTAGTTATACCTTGATTCTATTATAGCATGCCCCTTTTTTTAAAGTACTAGAAAAAGTGTTTCCATTTGGGCTCAGGAGGAATCATAATCATGTATGTAATCTTTTGTTTGGCAATTAAGAACAATAGACTGTGGACAATAGACTAGAAGTGCACCAAAATGGAAATTTTAAAAACAAAACCGAAATAAAATAATTGTCAGACCGAAACCGAAAATGTTTTAGTTTCATTTTTTCAAATTTTTTAAATATTTTATTTTTATTTATTCATTTTTTATTAAATATTTTTTACATTACTTTTAGGGGCTTCGGGGGAAATATTAGGGGTTTAAATGACCCCTGATATTTCCCTTTTTAAAATAGAAAAAAAGAGATTTAGGACACAAAGTCCTCTTCTTCTGCAGCCGCAGTTATAAATGTACAGGAATCCTCTATGAATGTTCCTGTTCATTCATAACATGAGTGTGTTTACAATAACTACAACTATGAATAGACAGGAAGTGATCTCGCTCACTCCCATTCATCCATAATTGAGGATATAGTACACATACCATGTCCTCAATTATCTACAAACACTCAGAGATCACTGATAGCCGAGTGTTTGCTCTCACTTTCCTCTGACACCCTGTCACAGGAGGCTGATCGAGCGGTGTAGGGAGGGGAGCTCAGCCTCTGTGACACTGCGGCCTGTCTCCGCCCACACACCGCTCTGCTGGACTGTGATAGGAGGCTGAGCGGTGTGGGAGGAGAGACACCGGCCGCTCACAGCGCTCTCCTCACGCAGCGCTCGGCAGGCTGTCCCTTTCTCTCCTCCCCGCTGGGACACAGAGCAGCGCCCAGCGGGGTGGAAAGAAACCTGGCATGTGCCGATATATCGGCAGGAAAATTGCATTTTCGGCATTATGCCAAAAGTGCCATTTTTGGCCAATATGTTCCGGCGGCCGATATATCGGTGCATCCCTATAATAGACTGCGGCAGGGCAAATACTGAAGGCAGGGAGTATACAGCCAAACAGTGTGCAGTATGGGACATACCAAAAGCTGTGAAGAAATGTAAAGAAAGCACAGTGTATGGAAGGGAGTATTGTGGCTTTGTCACATACAGGTGAAACTCGAATAATTAGAATATCGTGCAAAGTTCATTTATTTCACTAACGCAATTTAAAAGGTGAAACTAATATATGAGATAGACTCATTACATGCAAAGCAAGATAGTTCAAGCCGTGATTTGTCATAATTGTGATGATTATGGCTTACAGCTCATGAAAACCCCAAGAACCCCAAATCCACAACCTCAAAAAAGTAGATTATTACATGCAATCAATAAAACAAGGGTTGTACATAGAACAATATCGGACCTCTGAAAAGTACAAGCATGCATATGTACTCAGTACTTGGTTTGGGCCCCTTTTGCAGCACTTACTGCAATTACTTTTGAACGATATTCTAATTATTCGAGTTTCACCTGTACAGCACAGTATACAAAGTAGAGAGGTGCATAGTATAGAATGTGCAGTACAGAGTGTACATTACTCCAAACAACACTCTGTATGAGGAGAGCATGATCGGAGTATGTATATAATGTAAAGGTATCACATACAGAATATACTGCACAATATATAGGGCGTAGGTCAGAATATACATCACAGTGTTACCCCTGGCAAGTGTTAGGGCAAGCAACAACCCCAGCACAATAATAAGCCCCAAGCACTGCAATAACCCCCCCCCCCCCCCCAGCAAAAAAATGGCCC